CAGACTTGCTATAATGTGTCAAAGTTTCCTGAATAAAGTTGAGTGAGTAAGCATCGCTTTTAAAATATTTCAATTTGATGGACAAGAAAATATCAGTGTAGCAAAGTAGGTCTCCTTATATCATTGCAATTAGCCACATTATTGCAAGTGGAAAAATACTCTCAAAAGGGCCCTGGTGTAATATTTTTAAATGAATGTAAAAAGAGCTGCTTTGTATTAGCCAGGAGAAAGTTGAGAGTTTTTTGATTTGACCGTTACACCGCTGAAAAGGGCAGTTCGTTTCATATATATATTTTAGCCAGAACTAGCTTTAACAATTGCCAACTGCCAGTTATAAATAGCTTTCCTCTTTGAAACAAAGCTTCATCTTTCAAACTGCTACTATCTTAAGCAAAGAAGAAAAAATATCATGAACTTCTTTCGGCACATACCAGCTGTTCCAGATGTTATGATTACACATGTGGACCACGTTCTGAACTAAAAATACATACAGGAGATTGACTTCGAAACTTTTTAGTAAAGCAACATCATAAATTATCTTGGTTACCCCTTAGTTATGTTCTAGAAGTGTTTGTAAGTGGTTTGTAAGGGGAGGAATAACTTCAGGCTCATTTTGTCCCCCCCCCCATAAAACCTACTATGATTAATACTAAATTTCACTAATAAAATTATAGCCTTGTAAGATTATGACATTAGAGCCTAGTTCAGACTTTGTTTTACTTACAGTGAAAAATAATAAAAAATCCTATTGCTCTCTATTTGTAAAAAAAAAAAAAGAAAGAAAATAACTAAATTGAATAACAGATGTTTTTAAATGTAGGACTGGAAAGAGTTTGATTTGAGAAGTTAGAAGACTTTGGGGGATTTTTCTGGGAAGATGTGGGTGTTTTCAGAGGCTACAGGATCAAACAGTTCCGAATCTGGTCACCAGATGGCCTTATGAGACCAGAGCTTTGTGTGTGGACACTGGTGGTGATGGTAGAGTAGTGGTGGCAGTGACAGCAGTTTCAGGGTAGATTGGGGGTCAGGAAAAAAGGATGCAACTGCCCAGCTTTCACTTTTTGTTGTTGTTTGTTTTTTTGTTTTGTTTTGTTTTGTTTTTTGGCATCTGCTCAAACAGTTATCCATCTCAAGCATCGATCGGCCAGTGTGGTATTTTGGAAATGGAACTCAGATGATATTTTCTTGTTCAAAACTCTCCAGTGGCTTCCCAGCACTGGTGACATAAACTCCGGATTCCTTACCCTGGTGTACAGAGCCCTGCATAATATGGCCCATGTCTACTTCCCTGACCTTGTCTTAGACCATCGTCCCCTAATGTGGCTGCATTCTAGACACACTAGCCGTTGTGATTTTTGAAAGAGCAAAGCCTGCTCCCTAAAAGCCTTTGCATTCATTGTCACATTTGCCTGGATGCTTTGATTCGTCTTTTCAAATGGCTGGTCCTCTCTTATCCTTCAGATCTCAGCTCAGTGTTACTATAGCGTAAGTCCATTCAGATCTAAAGTATTAACCCAACTACTTCCCAGTGCATCACTTTAGTTTAATTCTCTGACTAAGCCTTAATCATTATCTATTTCCTTCCTTCCTCCCCTTTTGCTTCCTATGTATCTATCTGTCAATCAATTATCTAATAAATGCTCTATCTAGTGTCAGATCCTCCCCACTGGAATGCAAACCCCATGGGAGCAGGCGCTTTGTATCATTCATTGTCATTTATCGCATCACTAGAACAGTGGTCGTTCTTGTATAGAGAATGAATGAATGAATATTTGAGATATTTATAAGTTAGGCATTTATAGCCCGAGGAGGTACTAGTATTTGGATAATTCTTTATAGCAAGGTTTGCCATAACTGATTTAACTTTCAATTTTTTCATCTACTTTTTTGTTTTTTTATCAGACGTTCACTGAGCACCAACAAGTAGCAGGCATTGTGGTAGGTACTAGAGAGAATCCAGAGCCGAGCACTGGTAACAGAAGTGATGTTTTTAGAGCTGAGTCTCTATGCTAAGGGCTATGGACATATGACCTCATTTAACACTTGCAGCAATACTCCGAAACAGGAATTAGTCCCTAATTCCATTTTACAGACTAGGAAGCTGAATTTAGTTAGGTAATTTACCCAAGATAACATGCCTATTCAGTTGTGGAACTGGGACTCAAAGCTGGTAGAAAACAGTTCTTCCTGAAGGAGTCAGCAGGGAAGACAAACAACGGGCTTCGGCTCCAAGCAGGCCAGGTGATAGAAGTATCAGACAGTGACTACAGCACGATTAAATGCATAAGTTATCAAAATGAGAACAAGACTATCAGAGTAGCCCAGATGTATCTGACAGAGAACAAAATAGAATTTCTAGAAATTAAAAAAAAAAGATTTTGAAATAAAATTCTCAGAGGGTAAGATAAAGTCCAGATAGAGCTACAGTTTTAGTGAACAGATGAAGAGAGAATTAGTGAACTGGAAGATTGATCTAAAAAAATTGTCAAGAATACAGTACAGAAAGATTGAGATAGAAATATAACAAAGAGAAGTTTAGAGATGTGGACAATAGAATTAGAAGGTCCAACATATTTCTAGTAGAAGTTCCAGAGTGAAAGAAGAAAAGGAGGGGAAAGGGAAATACTGGAAGACTTAGTGACTGAAACTTTGAAAAAATTGATTATAGGCATATGTCTTCAGATTAGGAAATTCAGTGTATCCTGAGTTGAATAAATAAGCCCACACGTAAACACATCCTGATGAAACTTCAAAACACCGAAGGCAAACAGATCTTAAAAGCAACCAGAGAAAAAGATATAGCTCAGCTACAAAAGAATAACTGTTAAACTAACATAAAACTTATCGTCAGCAAAAATAGATGCTAGAATGTAATGGAATAATATTTTCAAGGTGCCAAGGGAAAGCAATAGTTAGTAAAAATTCTATACTCAGTTAAACTATATCTCAAGAGGCAGGGCAAAATAAAGAGATTTAGAGATAAAGAAAGCCTGAGTAGTTTTCCACCAACAAAACTCCTGATTAAAAACATCAGTATAAATTTACTTTGGGAAAAAGAAGATTGAACCCAGAAGAAAGGCATGAGATGTAAGAAAGAACGGCAATCATGTGGGTAAGTAGGAGGAGGACAAGAAAAATAGCCATGAATTTGAAGGGTGGTAAAATCAGGATGCATAGTTGTGTAAGATGGGAAGGGGGTGTCTGAACTTAAATTATTCTAAGATCATCTAAGGTTAGATATACTGATTATCTTTGGACCTTAATTATGCATTTGATTATGCTAAGGTAAACCCTGAAATTTCAGGGTGATTGTCCTTGGAGTGATGACTCAGCAATCCAGGTTTCTTCCAGTCTGGGACACCACTGCCTTTAGCCACGTGTCATTCAACTGGTGGTTGAATGACAGGATTTGCTGCTTAACTGAATATGGGGGTTGAAGGAGGGGGAAGTGGAATGGAAAGTGATGAAAGCCCAGGTGGACAGGGATGCTATGGATGGTGAGAATGAAAAGGAGAGAGGAGGGAGTCTGGGCTGAGGGGAGGGTGGTGAGTTCCAATGGGATCTCTTGAGTTTAAAGTGCATTTCCAGTAGGAGGCTGAACTTCAGCTCCCTGTGCTTGTTTCCTGTGAGTAATATTCTGGTGCATCTGGCGTTCCATATATACTGGTTCAATAATAACATTGCTGCAGATTCACCCGTGTTTAATAGATATTTGTTCGTGGAAATGCTACTTGATCAGTCAGATATTACTTAGTGGACTTATGTTGAGGCAGCTAATTTTAGAATGCACTATTTCCTATTAATTGATTAGAGCACTTCAGTAGTAATAGCCTTTCCTTTCAAGTGGATTATAGAAGTATCTATCGATTCCCTAAAGGTGATCTATATCTTGGATCAGACATAATAATAATAGCCACTTGAGAGCTTCTGAACTCTTGCACATATGTTCTCTATGGTGACCTTCACAGCCATGCCAGCAGGTAGATAGGGTATGACTTTATTATTGTACCCACTTTGCAGATGAGGAAATTGAAGATCAAGTCACATGATTGTATTCTCCTGTTGGTTTTACAATTCAGCTTTTGCAGGCTGGCTTGTACAATTCAGCTTTTGCAGGGTGGACAGGTTGACATGAAAGAATAACCATGTTCTGTTTTTCTTCGGTGCTTAATGCAGAGTGCTTTGTTCCCTGTCTTATCTCATCCTGGGCTTGTTGTTTTAAGGTCTCTATTTCTATGGCGAAGTTTTGAGCTGGGAGCCTTTGGATAGCCTACATGTGTGCAGATATTTTTGTGCTTGTTTTCTGTTAACTCTTTTTCTATGCTTTTTAACTTACTTTCTGCCATCCAGGGAGCCTTTCTGTTCTGTCGTGGGTGAAAAATACAAAATACAATTCCCAGGTGGATTCTGTTCTTTGGGTTGAACTTTGACCAACATGTGCAATTTTCTGGGGAGGGGGTCCACAGCTTTCATTGGTTCTTGGAAGAATCCAGAACCTAGCAACATTAAGAACCACTGAACAGAGGGGAGGGGATAGTAGTAGATAAAATGTTTCAAGAAATTATTAGTTTTCTCTTTTGCATTTCTACTCTTCCTTTGTGGTTCTCCATTTTTCTCTGTAGAGACCCTGAGGTCAGTTAAGGAGCGATTTATGACTTGGTGAAAGAGCAGAAGAAGGAGAAGTTTCCACTGTTTTATTCTTTTTGTTCAGGAGCAAATACCTGGGTACTAAGTTTTTCTATGGTCTACCAAAGGGATAATGCCCCTAATATGCCTACTATTTTTTTAATTAAAGTATAGTTGATTTATAATATTATGTTAGTTTCAGTTACACAGCATAGTGATTTAGTATTTTTGCAGATTATACTCCATTAAAAGTTATTACAAGATAACAGCTATAATTCCCTGTGCTGTACAATATATCCTTGTTGATTATCTATTTTATTTAATTTATTTATTAAAAATTTTTTTTAATTTACAAATATTTATTCAATAGCCATAACAGACAAAGAATAGTGGCTAAGAGGATTAAGCCCAGAATGAAAGAATGCTTGTGGAAAAGGAAAAAGACGTCAAGAGTTATTTCTAAATTAACCTCCTCAGAGCAAGAAGATGTGAGAGGAGTGATCACTGCTTGGGAAGATAACAAAAATTATAAGAAGGGAGAAGGCAGAACTACTATACTACCCTTGCTTGCCTGGAAAGATCAGAACAGACCTCACAGGTGAGAAGATAGTAAGATTATTTATTTATTTATTTATTTAACATCTTTATTGGAGTATAATTGCTTTACAATGGTGTGTTAGTTTCTGCTTTATAACAAAGTGAATCAGCTATACATATACATATATCCCCATATCCCCTCCCTCTTGCGTCTCCCTCCTACCCTCCCTATCCCACCCCTCTAGGTGGTCACAAAGCACCGAGGTGATCTCCCTGTGCTATGCGGCTGCTTCCCACTAGCTATCTGTTTTACATTTGGTAGTGTATATATATGTCCATGCCACTCCCTCACTTCGTCCCAACTTACCCTTCCCCCTCCCTGTGTCCTCAAGTCCATTCTCTACGTCTGCATCTTTATTCCTGTCCTGCCCCTAGGTTCTTCAGAACCTTTTTCTTTTCTTTTTTTTTTAAGATTCCATATATATGTGTTAGCATACGGTATTTGTTCTTCTCTTTCTGACTTACTTCACTCTGTGTGACAGTCTCTGGGTCCATCCACCTCGCTACAAATAACTCAATTTCGTTTCTTTTATGGCTGAGTAATATTCCATTGTATATATGTGCCACACCTTCTTTATCCATTCATCTGTCGATGGACACTTAGGTCGCTTCCATGTCCTGGCTATTGTAAATAGAGCTGCAGTGAACACTGTGGTACATGACTCTTTTTGAATTATGGTTTTCTCAGGGTAGATGCCCAGTAGTGGGAATGCTGTGTCGTATGGTAGTTCTATTTTTAGTTTTTTGAGGAAACTCCATACTGTTCTCCATAGTGGCTGTATCAATTTACATTCCCACCAACAGTGCAAGAGGGTACCCCTTTCTCTACACCCTCTCCAGCATTCATTGTTTGCAGATTTTTTGATGATGGCCATTCTGACCGGTGTGAGGTGATACTTCATTGTAGTTTTGAACTGCATTTCTCTAATGATTAGTGATGTTGAGCATCCTTTCATGTGCTTGTTGGCAATCTGTATATCTTCTCTGGAGAAATATCTATTTAGGTCTTCTGCCCATTTTTGGATTGGGGTTTTGTTTCTTTGATATTGAGCTGCATGAGCTGCTTGTATATTTTGGAGATTAATCCTTTGTCAGTTGCTTCATTTGCAAATATTTTCTCCCATTCTGAGGGTTTTCTTTTTGTCTTGTTTATGGTTTCCTTTGCTGTGCAAAAGCTTTGAAGTTTCATTAGGTCCCATTTGTTTATTTTTGTTTTTATTACCATTTCTCTAGGAGGTGGGTCAAGAAGGATCTTGCTATGATTTATGTCATAGACTGTCCTGCCTATGTTTTCCTCTAAGAGTTTTATAATTCTGGCCTTACATTTAGGTCTTTAATCCATTTTGACTTTATTTTTGTGTATGGTGTTAGGGAGTGTTCTAATTTCATTCTTTTACATGTAGCTGTCCATCTTTCTCAGCACCACTTATTGAAGAGGCTGTCTTTTCTCCATTGTATATTCTTGCCTCCTTTATCAAAGATAAGGTGACCATATGTACATGGGTTTATCTCTGGGCTTTCTATCCTGTTCTATTGATCTATATTTCTGTTTTTGTGCCAGTACCATACTGTCTTGATTACTGTAGCTTTGTAGTATAGTCTGAAGTCAGGGAGCCTGATTCCTCCTGCTCTGTTTTTCTTTCTCAAGCTTGCTTTGGCTTTTCGGGGTCTTTTGTGTTTCCATACAAATTGTGAATTTTTTTGTTCTAGTTCTGTGAAAAATTCCATCGGTAGTTTGATAGGGATTGCATTGAATCTGTTGATTGCTTTGGGTAGTATAGTCATTTTCACAATGTTGATTCTTCCTTGATTATGTATTTTATACCTAGTAGTTTGTAACTGTTAATCCTATATCCCTAATTTGCCCCTCCCCGCCAGCCCTCTCCCCTTGGTAACCACTAGTTTGTTTTCTATATTTGTTTTGAATATACAGTAGTTTGTATTATGTTTTAGATTTCACATATAAGTAATAACATACAGTATTTGTCTTTCTCTGACTTGTTTCACTTATATGCTATACTATTTTTGGTATCTCTAGAATGAAATACAGATTGTACAAATTCAGCTTCCAAAGGATAAAAGCAATTATAAAATTCCTTACATTTGTTCATTTCTTTATACTTTTCAAATGTCATTTACCTCCATTGGAATGAACGCAGGCTAAGAAGAGTTGAAAGTGGCTTCCTGCCCCTTTATGCTTCTAGGCCTTAATTTGTTCTCTTCTCTCTATGAGAAATGTTCTCTTCTTTTATTCCACTTGCCAAACTCATTCTGGTCCTCAAGACTGATCTCAATTATCTCTCCTTAAACTTTAATAAGTTCCTGTTATTAAAGGTATAACTGTTTAATGAAAGAACAAACTCAGACCTTCCATCATACATCCCTGGGTATCACTGTCAGACACATCTGCATTTTCAGGACTTTGGGTTGCGTTTGCTTATAGATATCTTACTTTTAGGCTGTAGTATTTTATGTAGGTGCCTAAATAGAACAAAGTCCCTCAGTACCTTTGTTATCTTCCACTGCATTTCATTAACAATTCCATTTTTCTGTTCTTTGCCTTCTCTCAACTTCATTTAGGATGTAAATATTTTATAAAAAAAATTCCAGATTTGTACAACAGGAAAGAAATGAATTGACCTGAATTTAGTGATGAAAATTTCTTGAGAGCCAGCATTCTGAGTTTTTCTTCAATGACCCAATTTGCATCTCTTTGAAAGAGGAAAAGCAAAGAAGTCTCTTTTTCATTCTGTCTCTCTCTTTTTTTTTTTTTTTTTTTTTTTTGCCTGTGCACATAATCACTATGAGTTTCTGGGCCTTTTACCTAATACCAGTGCCACAAAGGCATTTTAAGATTGAATTCCACTGACATGATTCTGACTTTCACAAGACCCCGTGGAAATGATCTGTACATTTTATCTTCTAGAATGATTTGACTCTAGCCCTTTCACTATGGTATGATAGGAGAAATCGAGGATGCTTTGATGGAAGCTTCCTTTTTCCTTCCATTGCTCTCAATGTGTGTCAGACCTTCCCACCTATGACTGGATGGCTGCAACTTCCTTAGGTGACCGCACCCGTATTAGAAGGTGGGTCAGGTCCATTATGGTCACTGGAAACCCGCAGTGCTAGAGAGACAAGTTAAGGTCAAGCAAGCTGAGGTCAGCACAGGTCTCGCTGGAAAGAGAGGTGTGCTGTCCTTAGAATGAGACTGGCAAGTCTGACCTGGCATTTGGCAACATTGTGGACCTCAAACTTGACCTCAAACTTGACCAGCAGGTGGGAGAAAGCTTCAGTAGGGCTGAGTACAGCTTGAAGAATACTCAGAAAGATTAGTAGCTTTGATAAGGAGGCTCTGTAGACTGAGGCCTTTTATCCAGGGCAATTCAGACCTATTTAGTTGGCCCTGTCCCAGGTGAGGACTTGCCGATCTTAAAGGGTCCTTATCAGCTAAGCAGAATCCAGTGCCCTTAAAAGGAAAGGCTTCTCTTTATCTAGTTGTACGTCTTCAGCAAGTGAATAAAGAGAGGAGGAGTACAGAGCTGGACTTGGGATTCTCCCAGGGGGGCTTGTTCTAGGGGATAGGGTGGGATTAGCCCTGGGGAGTGGGGAGACAGTGAGACGGATGGGGGAAGTTCTTTATTTATCCCCTGCTTGGGTTTCTCCCTCTGACACCAAGTCACCAAACGGAGCTAAAGGCAGAGGTTTGGCTGAGGGCACGTTGATACTTCCTATTTTCCAGTTTTCCTCAATCCACCCTGTCCCTCCAAATCTCTTCTGCACATCATTATCAGATAAGCCTTCCTGAAATGTGATTTTCATGATCTCAAAAGCCTTTAATGACTTCTTATTTCTGTGTGCTAAATTCCAGCTCCCTTAGGCTGACATTCAAGAACCTTTTCTATCTGGCCCCAACCACCCCAATGATCCCCGACACAGACCTTCCACCCGGTGAAGCAGGCATGCTCTCTGTTGCTTGAATACCCCATGGCAATTCCTGTCTTTCAGATTTGTTCATCCTGCCATCACCCACTTAGAATGCCTTCGTTCCTTGCCTCCACTTTTATGGAAAATCCTAAAGATAAGGGCTCACGTCCTCCCTGGTCCTTATGGCCCCCTCACATCACTCCCGATCTCTCTCAGACTAGTTGGGTTCTTGGCATTCTTTCCATCCTGCGTAACTGAGTTTGGTGATTTATGGTGAGCAAATGAGTGGAAAGAAAGCAAAACATAAAGGACCATGTGGGAGAACTCTACTTTCCAGAAGTAAGCTGTCTAAACTTCCTTTTGCATCTTTGGCTTTGCACTTGTTCAAGATCCCCTGGGGATATTTTTGCACCACTGACTTTGAACAGGCTTCAGGGGCTCACGTGGCAGAAGATTCTCAGGGCAGGCTTAGTGTCTGGAGCCTAGGATGTTCTCAGTGAATTGCAGCTATTGGTTTTCTTTCCAAGCATGCAGACACTCCTTATGTAATCTGGGCTCAAAGGTGTTTTCAGGACCCTTGACTCTCAGTGGGATGGCACATAGAGAGCAGAATAACTCAGAGAGAAGTTCAAACAGTCCATACTCTAATCTCTGGCGTTCCCAGCTTGAGAGAGACCCGAGACAGAAGGTCTTGGAGGTGTGGGTCAGAAGGGTGGGTTGGCTTGGTGGTAGAAAGTTCTCGAGGAAACACAAGGATATAATTTAAATCCTTAGGCATGTTTGCAATGCACCCTCTGTATACACAGATCTCACGTGTGAAAATGAGAATTGACCAACTTTCCAAAACCTTAAGACAGATGGACTTTGGTCCAGAGAGGTCAGAATCTTCAAAATTGTTCTGAAGGCATTGTATAAATGCTTGCCTTAATGCAGCAGATGTTCTGTGGATAATATCTTCCTGCAGAGTTACATCAAATGGAAATGGAGCTGTGTATTTTCTTAGCATCTTAGGCCACAATACCCTGTGTGTTTAACTGAAAACTCTTTAAGCTATAATGGAGTATCCTTAATGGA